GTTTACACTGGTGGTTCTACCCTGAAACAAGTGAGATCACCATGAGTCAGTGCAATTTGATGGCAATAAGTTTGGCTCTTGGCTTTTAATCTTTTGTAATAAATCTCCAATTCTTTCTTTCCACATGCCTCAGGTTGGATTCAAACCACCAACATTTTGGTCATGAACCGACCACTTCCATTTTTTAATTAATAAAAAGATTAAATTTTAAAATTATAATACTAGAAGAAATGTAAATGAAGATTTAGCTGGTGCTTGTGCAAGAAACTTTTCCAACATTGAAAGAGGAAAATCAAAGCAAAAGAAACAAATTGGCACATTTTTGTATAAAATCTTTTTTAATTCTCCTACATAAAAAAACTCATAAAAAGTGATAGAAGGTAAAATATGCACTTGGAATATTTGTACCATGTATATTCCAAATAATTCTTTCCACTAGTATTAAGACATTACAAATCAGTCATAAATGGTTAATATCCAATATGAAATAAGAATATCAGGTCACAAAGTTGTAGTGGTAATAATAATAATAATGATAACTAATGATAAAGATAATAAAGTGATGAAAGCATAGAAATGATAATTAAAAGCAAATTAAACTAATGAGACCCTTTTGTCCATATGCTTGGTATTAATTGCATTATTACCATGATGTTACTTGGCTTTTAAAATACCACCATCATCGTTAGTTGCCACCAAGTAGTCTCTGACATATGCTGACCCCAAGTAAAGCAGAATGAAGCATTCCCCAGGTCCAGACATCTTCACCATTGAGTATGCTTGAGTCCACTGTGCATTTGGAGGGACTTTGAACCGAAGGGGCTCCTCTTCTGGCACTCTGTCAGACAATAATAGGTCATGACAGGGAAAGGTATCCATGGGCTTACCTTTGAAAGGCCTTTCTCCCTGGTCTGTCTTAGTCTGGAAGTCTGCTGAAAATGCCCACTCTGTATGACCCTGCTGAGATCGAAAAGACTGGTGACTAGTTCCCCGAGCGTGGTAACACACAAACCACCACAGTACAGAGACCCAACAGATGGGTGTTGGTTTTCAATATTAAGAGACCATATTTTACAGACACCTTTAGGCCACTGAGCTTGGCCATGTAGTGTGTAGTATGTCACATTGCAAAGAGATCAGCAATACTAAATTACCAGCAGCTCCTCAAGAGAAAGATTTTACAGATAAAGGTTGAAATGTGGTTTATATCTTTAAGAGCTTGAATAATATACACTGAATAGTAGTTGTTGTTAGGTGCCAGTCGAGCACAACCCTCGGTGTCCTTATGAACAACTGAAATGAATACCTTCCTATCCTGGGCCATCCTCACAATCTCTGACACACGTGAGTCATTGCTGCAGTCACTGTGTCAATGCACCTGTTTAAGGGGCTTCCTCTCTTTGGCTGTAACTCCACCTTCCCCGACATGGTGTCCCTCTCTTAGGAACAACCTCTTCTGGCAACATGCCAAAAACATGTGAGGTGAAGCTTCCTCATCACTGCCTCCGAGGAGCACTCTGGCTGCACCTTCTTCAAGACATACTTATTTGTTCTTTTGGCAGTTGATGGGATATTTATTCACTACTGTTCTCCAACATTGCAATTCAAAGTTGTCAATTTTTCTTCTCTCATCCTTAGCGATTGTCCAGCTCTCAGCAGCATAGAAAATTATTAAAAAGACCATGGCCGGAATCAGATGCACCTTAGTCCTAAAACTCACATTATTGCTCTTAAATAATTTGGAGAGGTTCCTGACTGCAGGCTTTCCCAGTGCTATACGTCTCCTAACTGCTGGCACCAAGTGTACTGATTACAGACCCAAGTAAAAAGGTGCCATTGACAGTTTCCATCTTTCTCCATGTAGCATGATGTCGCTTATCAGTCTACTGGTGACATTTTTGTGAAGGCTGCAGTGTTTGATCTGCAGCAAGTATTTCAAGTCCTCCTCACTTTCAGCAAGCAAGGTTGTGTCATCTGCAGAATTTAGGTTATTGGATAAGTCTTCCTCCAATACTGATGCCACATTCATCTTCAGAGTCTAGCTTCTGAAATAATTTGCTTAGCATACCTTGTAACAAACCTTTCTTAATTTTAAACCATTTCACTTTCCTTTGTTTTGTCTGCACAACAGCCTCTTGGTCTAAGTCTAGGTACAATGAAGTGTTCTAGAATTCCCATTCATCTCAGCATTAGCCACAATTTGTTATGATTCACACAGCCAAATGCCTTTGCACAGTCAACAAAGCACAAGTAGGCATTATTGTCATATTCTTTACTTTCAGCCAGGATCCATCTGATATCCGCAATAATATCCCTGGTGCCAGAGTCTCTTCTAAATCTAGCTTCAATGCTTGGCAGTTCTCTGTCTATGTATGGTTCTAGTAGTTTTTTAATGATCTTCTTGCATGTGATATTAATGATATCACTCATTAATTTCCACATCCTGTTGGATCACCTTTCTTGGGAATGGGGACAAATATGAATCTCTTCTAGCCAGTCAGCCAGGCAGCTGTCTTCCACATTTCCTGGCATAGACTGGTGAGCATGTCCCGGGTTACATCTGTCATTTGAAACATGTCCGCTGACATCCTGTCAATACACTGAATTCCAGAATAGCAAGGAGGAGATAAATTTTTAGGAGATATAGAACAAATTGGGAAGTCCTGTTTAATGTGAGTTGTAAATGCTAAAATCTTCATCCTATAATAGAAAATAAGAACTTACATAATACAAGAAAAAAGTTTCTATTTGTGTCAAGTACAAATATAAATATAACAACAAATACAATACAAATTAAAATGGCGGTGACTAGGCTTTTTTAAATTTAGATAAATTTTAGATTAGATGATTAGTGATAATTGCAAATAGACCATGGAGTGATTAAAAAGCTTCACATTATTTTCCGTTTAGAATTATTCTTTTTATTTTAAATTTATTCTTGAAGAAAACAAAGAATTAACACCATGGTTGGCAAACATTTTTTTCTCTTTGTGTTTATAGCTCTGAAACTGAGACTCTGGGATTCTGCCTAGAGAAACTTTGTTTCCGTCCTGCTAGTAGTCTTCAGTGACAGTGTTTGGAAAATGACATGAATATGTATAGTATATCCAATTCAATATGGATTGAAGCTCAATATCAAGAAAACAAATATTCTCACCACTGGGCCAATTGGTAGCAGCATAATAGATGGAGAAGAGATTGTCAACAATTTCAGCTTGCTCAGGTCCACAATCAATACTCTTGGAACCAGCAGCCAGGAAATCAAAAGAAAAATTGGACTAGGAAAGTCTGCCCTTAGGGGCCTCTCCAGAGTGCTGAAATGCAAAGATGTCAGTTTAGAAACTGATCCAGGCCATGGCATCAGAGAGCTGGACAATGAGTAAGGATGACAGAAGAAGAACTTATGCCTTTGAGTTGCGGTGCTGGAGAAGAGTATTGAACATCCTATGGACTGTCAAAATAACAAACAGGTCTGTTCTGGAGAAGGTGATACCAACTTGCTCTCTGGAGGAAGCGATTTTGAAACTCTGTCTCACATACTTTGGGAATGTTCTCAGAAGGGACCAGTCCTTGGAGAAGGATATGCTTAGAAGAGAGGAGGGGACAACACAGGAGAGGAAGATCCTAGATGAGACGGATTGACATAATTACTGGGGTAATAGGGTAGGTGCATCAGAGACAGTGAGACTGGCTCAGGATAGGACACAGTTCAGAGCTATTTTGCATAGGATTGCTATGCTGTGAATCACAGGTAGCTCAACGGCACATAACACCACCACCAGTGGTGTCAATCCCAAGCATTGTTCTATTCCACATCATTGTTCTGTTCTACAATTAAACTGAAATCATAAACTAGTATAGAAAATAAAATTCAAAATTTAAGGCTCAAATTGGTGGTTATGTGAATTTTTTGTTAATTTGTTCATATATTGCTGAGATCTGCTCCATTTCACACTTCCTTCATTTAGTCAATTGAAACCATTACCTTAGAGTAGCTACTGGGGTCTTAAAAGTCTCCAGTTAGTCATGTAAAGTGGGTTCTCCATGTCTAGAAAAAATAAGAAAGAAGAAAAGCCAAGATGTAATGAAACCAGTAGTCCACTGAGCTGGTGGACCATGGGGATCTCAACTTCTGTGACCCTAAGACCAGAAGATGGTACCTGGCTACCACCAATGACCACGCTAAAAGGGGTCACAGTAGAAATTCCTAGATAGAGTAGGGGAAATTATAGAACAAAACCCCAAGTCATAAAAGAGGCCAGGCTTACTGATTCTATAGAGACTGACAGAGTCTGTGCCACCATGACCCTGCAAACAAAACACCCTACCTCAACTGTTAGCAAAACAATAGACAGGCCTAGACAGGGGACAGCAACACCAGGAAAGCCCTCACTCCTGTGAATAAGCAGCCATATAAGGTCAAAAGAACAGCATAAGCCAAAAAAAGGGTAAGACTAAGGATTAACAGTCATGAGAATCACAAGGAAGAAGTGGAAGAGTGCCAAGTGGATATTGTCATTTCTAGTATAAGACAAAATGGTATGAGTAGTTAAGTGGAAATGGGGCTCTGGCGGCTTACTGGTAAGAAACTGTGCTGCAATCCCAAAGGCTCGTAGTTCAAATCCATTAGCTTTTTCACAGAAAAAAGATGAGCAGTCTCCTCCCATGCAATAAGCTGCCTCAGGAAACCCACTGGAGGGTCAGCTGTGGGTCAGTTCTGACTCAGTGGTACACAACAACAGTTGGAAAACCAATTTGTTTTATGAACTTTCACCCAAATAACAAAAGATAAGAAATATATATTGAGAGGGACCAGAAGGAGAGGAAATGCCACCTAACATAGTGCCTCACTGGTTATAATCCACAGTGGGGATGAGAGTGCTTACATAGATAGGATCACACCTGGGCCGAAGTGGTTTCTAGCTTATGCCGGTTGTATTTATTCACAATACCTGAAGGTAAATTCTCTCCCTGACTCTCTGCCTCTCTGTTCTCCTCAGGACTACTGGCTGTCTCTACTTTATAAGCGTCTGATCGGTCCCAAAGTCTTGGCCGTGCATGTAGCTGGACTCCAGAGGAAGCCACGGCCAGGCCGAGTGATCCGGGACAAGCTAAGGATTTATGCCCACTGCACAAACCACCATAAGTAAGTCTTCCCAGAATTTAAGCTTCGGGCCCCTTTTAGAATCTATGTTTGGGGGCCCCTTCAAGATTTTACTGCTCACTGGCTACTAAAATGGTCTTTCACTGAAAGCTTCCTTTGGACTCATTATTCCTTCTCCTTGCAGAGTTTCAAACAATCACTAATAAATAACCTTCTCATCAAGCAAACCCCCTTCTTCATGCCTGTAGAACTTATTCATAACAGGTTTGCTTACTTACTCATCCAGCAAAGTTGTGTTTAACATTTCCCCTTTGCCAGTTGATGTAATGCCCATGAGGCTGTTTTGTGTGCCTAAGCCTGAACTAAGGCAAGAGCTATAAAGTCTACTCATGCAATCCACCAGCTGAGTTGGCGAAAGCAAGTCTCCATTTCAGAATCTACAGCCTAGCGTGTGTTGGAGAGAAACCTCACCCTAGACCAGGGCATCTCAGACTGGGGCCCCAGAGCTAAAGCAAGGTTCAGGAACAGTCTGGCCAGCATTAGAACCATGTTCAGTATCTCAAAAATATTTTTGGTTCTTTGGTATTAAGACACTCAGTGAAATCTGGATTTCCTTTGTTTGGTGTTACAACTGAGTGCAGGAATGCGTCTTTTCTATCTGATGCACTGGTTGTCATTACCCTTGCCTTTAAAACAAACAGTGACATTCATTTCAGTCAACAAAGAAAGTCTGGCTGATAAAATAGTGTAAAACATGAGGACCATAAGGTAAACATTTAAAAATGGGTCTAAAAAAGAACCCGTGAGACCAAATCTAGCTTTCTTATCCCTTCCTGTTGAGAAAGCAGAGTCCCCAGCCCTGGAGAAGAGCGCTCTTCCTCTTAACACAGAGCTAACCTCACAGGGAGGAAGGAGTCAGCAAGAGCCTGGAGCAAGTGGCCTTCATTCCAGCCCTGGCCTATCAGGGGCTGATCAGGGGAGTGGATGGCACAAAGAGCTCCAAGTGGTCAGGTTACAGCAGACGCTTCTTCCTTAATGAGAGAGAGGAGCCAAGCCAATGTACTTATCATGATAAGATTTTTCAAAGAATCACTCCAAGCACAGGGGAGCCAGGGGCCAGTTGTCTTGTCTGTAGATACAAGTGCCTATTGTGGAAGGAGGGTCCCTGGTTTGGGAAGAGGCCAAAAGGTTTTCAACATCCCTTTTGCTCAGCAGGAAGCTCAGTCCAATACCTGCCAGAGAGTGACTGCTTTGTGGCCTTGGCCTCCAGTTATCTGATCAGCACACAAGGAAACATTGTCTCCTTGTCCCTGCCCAGCCTCCAGGTAACCACCCAAACAGTGGACCCCAGTCTCAAGAGAGGAAAAGTACTCTTGGCACTTTCTGTCTTTGTTGGAAAAAAAGGACACATCAGTGTGTGTCCTTTATGCTACCGGTCAGAGTTCAGGGGGAAGATGGCCGTGGCCATGGGCTCTGCAGGACTTGGATGGCCTCCATGAGTCCTGCTGCCATGGTCTCATTCCACCATTCACCCTGATGCTCTGGGAAGTTGTCACTATCATTCCACCATTCACCCTGATGCTCTTTCAACATCGTCCTGGGAAGTAGTCACTAATGTTCTGTATCATTAACTCAGGGCCAGTGTGGCCTTCATTTTTGTATTCGTGGTGTTTATCATAATATAGTGTCTAGGCTGGAGATGGACTCAGGAAATGCTTGGTGAATGAATGCAGAACTAGGACGTGAAGGACGCCCATTTACAGTTGTAGTTCTCTTCCCCTCTGGTCTCATGCCATCACCTAGGAGGAGGGCATGTGGTGAATGGTTATACGATTTCTGCTGCTCGCTAGCTTGAGATCTAAAACAAGTTCCTGAAATGATCTGGATTCAAGATTCCTCTCTCCCATCAGCTCCTCTCTGCTTCCTATAAGAAGTCACTCCAGAACCTCTCTGTAAAAACAGTGTCACTACGCTTGTGTCAATAACACCATGTTCTTGGAAACAAAACAAAGCATGACTTTGTTAGTTCATTGCACACAAGATTCCAACGTGGATAATAATAGGGGAGAAGATTTGCTATTGTTGTTATTGTTCCTACTGGATTAATAAGCTGATAGTGGTCTCCTGTATGTTAGCAGCTGTCAGGTGCTATCGGGGCATAGGTACAAGGAGTGAAGGATCTCAACTCTTCCAGAGGACATGTAGCCTGTCTCTGTTCCTATAGCCTCCACAGCCATCATCAAGAAACACTATCACCTAATTTCATTTATCTGTGGCCGGTGGGAACAAGGTAGTGAGCTTGTACATACAGGGTGGCCATATTGCCATCACATTACTCAGAAAAATATACACCTTTTGTCAAACTGGGGTTGGGTAATAAAACAACAATTTATAAATTTGTGTCTATTAAAATAGTATCAACAACAAAAACTTTGCTCATTTTATAAGATCTTATCAAAGCCTAAAGGTACAATAGTGTCATCCCTGTATGCAAATAACAATATTAATGATGCAAAAATCTTTTCTATTTGCAAGGAACCTTAGAGATTCTATGGCCCAGAGTCCTATTCAACATTGGAATCCCTTCCACAGCCTCCCACACAGGTAGTCATGCACCCTCTACTTGAAGCCCTCACTGCCTCTCACAGCCTCCTCTTGCATTATGCATCAGCCCAAACTAATCCATAGTTATATCATGATTGATTTTGGAGAAAATGTTATATACTTGTACCCAAGCCAGCAGGTGCTTTTCTGCTTTCTATTCTATGAATTAGTAAATTAGAAGAATCAGAGTTCTAGATCTTCTTGTTCAGAGAATAAGTTTTGGCTGGGAAGGCTCTTTATGAACCGTTCTTCCAAGACAATATATGTTTCTGAGGAGGAGCTAATACCCTTGGCCAAGTTCAAAACCAGTTGGAACCTGGTGGATGTTGAAGCAAAACTGAGCCTTTTAGGGTTCAAGTTCATTTATTATTGGCAAAATAATACTTCCTGTTTTTCAGAAGAAGTTGTGTTTCTTTTAAAGACTCATAAAAATAGGTTCCTGAGGCCTCTTGGACTTCAAATGGCTCTTACAAAACAATATTTTGATGAGTTAAGTGTAAATGAATCAGAAACATGTGGATTGTATTTCCTTTAAAATACACAGGGGCTTTGACATTAAGGGGGGGAAATATGTTTGGCAAAACATGGCCTGACTCTTACTGAACCCAAAAACTTTTTAGATTTGAAGACAATGGACCAACCCAGTTTTCAAACGCTTTGCCTTGCACTTGGATGGCCACGGACTCCAGCACATTGTCCTCCCTTCTCTTTTCCCAGTCTTACAGCTTCATCCGAGTCATTTCTAGACTAGCAACTGTTTTTCTGTCTGAAAATCAAGATGCATCTCCCATATGATAGCCTCTGCTTACTCACCCAGCATATCTCAGCCCAGGCTTCCTTCTCCAACACACTTTCTTCTCCTGCCCCCATGGCAGCATGGAGAGGTCAGGTAGGAGCAGGACAGCCAGCAAAAGTTGAACATCAGCTATATGAACTTTCTGTTAGTAAAATAGTCTCACCAGTGATACATGAGAAAGAGAACTGTTCTATGAGAACGATAACTGTTCTACTCAGACAGAAAGGGGCATTCATTCACTAAGATAAACTAAAGCTACCTGGACTTGGTCTTTGCTTACAGGCTAAGCCTTCACACCCTGAGTTCTCAAGGAGCAGAGATTATTTTTCTGGGAGTAGAGAATATATATTCTTCAGGAATCTGAGTTCTCAACCTTGTAGTTTCAAGCTGGTGCTGCAGTTCCCAGCTGAGAAGTCTGTGTTTAATGACATTGCCCATCAGGCAAGGCAGAGCGAGGTTTGGCTGTACAGCATTCACTGCTGTTTCTACCTGCGGAGGCCATGGAGCCTCTGCTCAGGGGTCCCAGGGCTAGCTCTCAGTCCTGACTTGTCTCCCTCAGGGGAACTATATAAATGGAAATCACACCATTACAGAGCAGCTTGAAAAAGCCAGCTTTCTCTGAAGCAATGGTGTGACTTCAGGGCCCCCTCCCACTCACCGCTTCCCCCTTATCCCTTCCACCAAGCTCCCAGTCTCCAAGGGCTCATTCTACCTCAGCTCTTCAGAGAAGAAACTTGTAAATACAAGCACATGACTCTCTCCTCCACTGTGGGCTTTGAAAGAGTTGTTGATGGTGATTAACCAACAGGTTTACTGCAGCCTGGAATAAATGAATACCCACTCATGCTTCCTTTTGCTTACACTATGAAACTTAGAATACTTGCCATTTATAGAGTCTTCCTCAATTTTACACACAGCTAAGTGAAATTGAAAGCCAATAGAACATAGTCAGTGTTCTTCAGTAGTGATGACAAATACCTACACACCACCCAAACCCCTCTTTAGAGCTTGGATGACACAAGTCTGCTCAAATAAAGTGTAATTCTTTTCTAACCTAACATTTGATTGGCCGAGTCAGGTCATATGCTGCAAGGGATTGAGAAGAGGGACTCGGGAAGTGGAAAGGAGAAGAGTCATTTCCTTAATTAGCAGAATATAAATGCAGGGCACCCACAAACCCTTCCACACAGTAAGTAACATGTCCTCCTACAGAGGCTACCAAAGTCGTCTGGTATGCAAAGCCAGCAGCATATATACTTGGGAATTCTCATTGCTCTAGGCAAGTTGATTGCCAAATGTATCTTATCTACCAGATTACTTGAAAATCATTTTTAAATACAGATTTCTAGGCCACATTCCAAATCTATTGAATCTACATTTTCAGAGACAAGTCTTGGAAATGATATACTTTTGAAAAAAGAAAACCCACCAAGTTATTATATCACTCTCCCCTTGGTCACTCAACTCTTAATTAGTACCTTTAGAGGCAGAGATGTGACCCAAAGGCGAAGAGGCACTGTTTCTGCTGGGGAATGATATTTCCCTTTGGGCAAAGTTCCTTAGCTTTTCTCTGAACTCCTCCTTTGAAGGCAGAACTGGATCATTCCTTCTGTTTCCTCTCATTAACCCATCCAGATGGGGC